CAAACAATCCAAACAATTACAAAAACTTCTCTCGAAGTACAAAAATATCCACCGTTAAATTTTTCCATTCATGAAAGTTACAAATTATTGATTTGGACACTGAATTTCAATTTGGAGCAGAAAGAACTCAATTCGAGAACCTAGCCCTTTCAATCTGGGGTTTCTCATATTCTCTCTTTTTCTCGTTGAAATAGATGAGTCACTGATGTAGAAGACTCGAGAACAACATCGTTTTCAGACGAGAGAAACGTCGTTTCGCTCTTCCTACACACGCCGGCAGATATGTCGGTACTTATATCCACGTTAAAAACCACATCAGCTTGTATGGACGAATACTGATTGATATCTACTTATGTCTTTCGAGTAAAATTTTGTGTATTTTTTCGGATCATTTGAAAAGTGGTTATATTTTTGTTCTGCGAGCATAAATTCATGTATATGTTTTGGGATTTGGCTGAGAAAGAGCACATGAACATTATGCTTGATTGGCTGGTGACTCTTCTTCTGTTATAACCATTTACAATCAATTCGTTGAGTAGCTGAGTTATCGCTCTCCTCATCGATAATTAATTTCTTGGATTGGTTTCCCTGATAAACTCCCTCAACCTCAATGAAAAGTTCAAGGGAAAATTACAAAAAAACCTAAACCTCTTGTAATTATGTCAATTCAGTCATAAACTTTTTTTTGGCGAATTCAGTCCTAAACCTTTTGCATTTATGTCAGTTCAGTCCATCTGGCCAATTTTGGCCACATAGCACTGCATGCACTGACGTGGACTTTTTGAATAATTTTTTGAATTTATTTTATAATTTTTTTCTTTTTCTTTTCTTTTATTTTCTTTAATTTTTTCGGCTGGGATGCTCTCACCGGCACTGGGCGAGGGTCACGGAGCCCTCGCTTGGCCCAGATCTAGGCGAGGTGGAGGAAAAAAATACTAAAGAAAAGAATAGAAAAAAGAAATTTTTTTTAAAAATATTAAAATATTATTTTAAAAAGTCCATGTCAGCACAACCACTGTCACATCAACGCCGCCACTGTCATGTCAGCGCCGACTTGCCAAAATTGGCCAGAGAGACTAAACTGGCACAAATGCAAAAAGTTTATGACTGAATTAACACAATTACAATAGGTTTAGGACTTTTTTAATAATTCTTCCAAAGTTCAACCACATCGAGTTCGTTCTTTGTATCTAAAACACCATTGGGATCTTTGAGCAAACTGCATGGCCACGTAACTTTTGCCGTTGCGTGTACCAATTTTGATTTTTTTTTTGGCTAAAGTGCCAGTTTCGATTCTATTTCGGTGCTTAACGGTGCTGCAATAGGCTCCTTTTGGCACTACATGAGACGAGATTGTTTCAATAAAGAAACAAGTCATTTGGGTCATAAGCCTAATTGGCACTAAATAATCTATAATTATAACTATAGCATAGGGAAATTTGTCCAAAAAGTCATAAACCTACGGTACGGCGGTCAATTTAGTCATAAACCCTTAAATTGTGTCAATTTAGTCATAAAGCTTCTAATAATTTGCCAATTTAGTCCTAAACTTGTTAACGATTTGTCAATATTAACCATTCCGTCCAATTTTGAACAAAATGGTTGACGTGGTATGTGGCATGACTGGCGCTAACATGGATAATTTTTTTTTCTTTTTTTTTCCCTCTGCCGGCCTCAAGCGAAGGCTACCCTCGCTGACCTCAAGCGAGGGACGTCTAGGCCTGGCCTAGCACGACCCTTGCTAGGGGTCAGAGAGGGTGGCCCTTGCTAGGGTCTCTGGCAGCCATTGACAAGGCTTGACAACAGCTGGTAGAGGGAAAAAGAAAAGAAAAGAAAAAATGCATGATATTAAAAAGTTGTAAAAAATTGTCCACGTCAGCGCCGTTCGTGCCACATAGGACAGCCGGTGCTGATTAGACTGCCATGTCAATGATTATTGGCCAAAATTGGCCAGAATGAGTAAATTGACAAATCGATAAAAGGTTTAAGACTAGTCAATTGAAAGATTTATGACTGAATTGATCGTCGTACAAGGTTTAAAACTTTTTTTGACTATTTTCCCAGCATCTATGTGTCATTACTATAATGATAACATGTTTAGTAATTCATACGCCATTATTATATTTGTTTTCATTATAGCAAGATTATAATGATGACTATAACATCTATATGTCCTTACGGATATATTATCATGAATAACTATGCTAGAAATAGTATTTACTATTTTCATTGATATTGCTATTAATATTAATATTATTATAATATGTGATTACCATCATGATTTTTATTTTTGTTATCTTAATATTATTATTATGACATTGTTATAATTCATTATTCCAATTTTTAGAAATATTGCTATAGCTCTCGCTTAAAAAAGTTTATGTTATGACACCTCAAAGATACAAGCTGCTAGGAAGATGGTGAAGATTCGGAATGAGGGGTCGAGTTTGGGATCTGGGCTGAGGAAGGAAGTGAAGAAGACGTAGAGAGCGAGGAGGAGGATGAAGATCAGAGCTTGCTTGAAGCGAGACAATTTGGGAGCGATGAGGATCAAAAGTGTAACGACTCGGTCCTGCGAGTGATGAAAGTGCGGCTCCACCTCGATGATGGCAAAGGAGACAGGAATAAACGGAGTCCCACATCATCTGGGGAAGGTGAAGTGATGTGATATATAAGGTGTGGCACCAGTCTTAACTCCCAACGAATGAAATTGGGGTCGCATTAGTAGGAGGTGAAGTGGGTTTGGGTTTTCTTGATTTCGTGGATTGTTTGCTCATTGACTCAACAGCCGAAACAAATGGGATTGAAGAGACAAACAGATAGACACCACCATACGAAGAAGAAGAAGATTTGGGCGAGGGTCTGTTGTTAGCTAGGGTCGCCAGCCATTGGCCGGGGCCCGGCGACCTCGCCAACCACTTGCCGTCCATCCCCCACCATCGCCGGCCCTTTTCAGCTATGGAGGGGCGGCGGAGGCAAAGGCCCTACAGCTCTCGCCGTTTTGCCTTCTTCATTTTTTTAATTAGTTTATTTTTTAGTACAATTTGAATAATATTTAGATTAGAAATCATATATTAACCTTATCATTTATATTTTAGCTACATTAGCACCATGTAGGAGGGAAAAAAAAATAGTCATGTAGAGTTAACCAAAAAACTTGAATGCCTTAGGATTCAATTGCACTATGGTGACAAATTTTAGAAATTCCAGTGTACTTATCGCTTACAAATATTATCATCTTACAATCTATATTGTCAACATTTCCGGTAATGTTCACTATTCCATTTTTTGTAGGAAGCTAATGAAACATATATTCAATTTCGTTCAATTATCAAACCATCTATCGTTTCCATTTTGAATACTAAAAATTTCAACGCTTAACATTAAACGCCTTAAAATTTTCGGTATTTATATTCCAATTTTATCAAACGAGCATGACTCAAGGGTAGCTGACATGATTGATGTTGTTGCATAAGTTCCTTCGTAGAATTGTGGTGGAGAGGTAGTATGTCATCCTTTGGGCACCAGCACTAACAAGGTGAATCAACCAAGTCGTCCATGTGGAGTGGAAAAATTCCAAATAAGGACAAGAAATGCTGTTGTCCTCGTTTTCTCAAATAAGGGCTGAAGTAGCCATGCCAGTTTCAAAAAATGACCTAACTTCACTGGCTGGTCAAGAGCATTTTCGTCATTTACTTCTTCTTTTTTAAAGTTTTTCCTTTTTTTTCTTTCTTTTTTCCTTGATCTAGTTTTTTTTCTTTTTAAAAGATAGATTTCTTAATTTTTAATCTAATTTAACAAAAAATTAGATTAAAATTGTCTTTGGACAAAAATACCCTTTACCAGCCGAAATATTTAACCTGCCAGCGAGATCAAGCCCTTATCTGAAACTGCTATGGCAACTTTAGGCCATTTTTTTAAACACTATCCACTACAAGTCTTTATTTGAAAAAATGATAACATTTTATACCCTTATTTGGAATTTGCCCTTATAGAGATTAGCATTTGCAAATAAGTGTTCGTTTCTCGATAATTATGTCGCGCCAGAACGAGAAATTTGCATTAGAGGAATACATAATCAATAGTCTGTTTTCACTGGTCAAATTGGGGAGTAGAACAGTGAATTTGTTAGTAGAAACATGGCTCATGGCACCTAGCCATTGGACTTCTGTCAAAAAACTCTTAAAGACTTGCAAACCCTGTTGGCCTGCTTCAGATTTGAATCCAACACTTATGGGTATCATCGAGTTAAGGCATTGAAGGACATTTGAAAAAAGAAAAAAGTTCAGCTCATGAGTGTACAGTTATTGTTTACAGCTGCCCCTAAGCATAGACCGGGGCTATCCTTTCGCCTTTCACTAGATAACACGGTATAATTTAATATCCGGAGCCTTCCAAAATGCTATCTTTCAAGATGGGGTAAACCAGAGCAGAGACTTCTCTCATCGCCAGCATCAACTGATCTCGCAAGCACAGTCAACCATCTCTTTCTAGTGCGCAATGATTCGCTTTACTTGCCTGCCTTGTTCATTAAAAGATTTGTGATTTTCAGTGTACTCTCAACATCTACATCCTCATGGATGATTACAGCACCCAACAAGAAAAGGGACCAAAAGAAAGGCAAAGATACTCTAACGTGAAAACGTGCTCACAGGTCACAAGATGACAATCTTGAGGTCAATCTTTAAACTGGGAGTGTGCAAAGTGAGCCCACTTTTCTGCTCTGTTTCACTAAGTACTTCCCTCTCTTTTCACAGATCACAGCAATGCAGATGACAGAGCAATTTAACCTCTTTCTCTCTCTCTCTCTGGACTGAGGTAAGTTTTTTGAGATTGCAAAGTACTTTTTGAGTCTCCCAAAGATATGCTATAGCAGGCAAACTAAAGCTGAAGAAATTTGATGCCTTTAATGGTCAGGGACAATCGAGGGGACCATTTTTTTCCCTTGGCCTTTATCCCTGTCATTTTTCTTTTCCTGCAGTGATAGAACCAATCAGCTTGGCTTCTTTCTGAGCACCTGCACAAGTCTATGTCTTTAGGTTTAATAGCATCCTGTCGCTTGGTTTTTCACGTCTTTCAGAGAGGAAAAGAATCATTTGCTGCTTTTCCTTCTCTTCGAATTATTAATGTTCTGAGGCATGTCTTGCACCAAGAAGATCATGCTCTGCTTCTGAAGTCCTAGTCCTGCATCATATCTTTCATTTTCAACCTCTTACGGCCTGCACTTTATGAGGGATCTTGAGGTTTTAGTAGTTCTTTAAACTCTCTCATTATAAAAATTATCTCACTGATTTTTGCAGAGTTTAGGTTGTTTGTGGAGTATATTAGTATTGTTTTTACTTTTGTTCAGTATTTTGCCTCTTGTATGCTTCCCTTCCCTATTGCCATAATAATCATCATGGTGGGTTTGCATTGGGGCTTCATTTTGGATAACAATTTGCCCTAGTGATGCTACCTACATTGTCTTCCAAGATCAAGATTTTGTTTCTGATTGATTTCCTTCTTCATGTATATCTTTCTGTTACAGTCTTTTGATAGATTCTCCACTTCATACAGTAGAACTGATCGCAATCGAGAAAATGATCTGTCACATGATACATTTTCTCGAAATCGGAATCTTGTCAAGCGAATCAGTTCCATAAAGATCATCCAAAAGTAATACCAACGAAGTTCCGGGGATTATTATGGTTACGCACGAATCACCGCCGAATCCGATGCCAACCGCTTGGTGCCGATTCATTCCATGTGAGAGCCGATTCGAAGGCCCAGATTTGAGTTCTTATGGTTCTGGTTTACGAAACAACACCACATTCTTTGAGCCCATCGGTGCAGTACCAAGCATCCAGTATCTTGGGGAAAGAATGCCAAGATCAATAAACCTTGTTCACAGTCCTGTAACAGCAGCTGAATCCCATATCACCCACACCAGGCATTTGATGGATCTTCTTGAAGCAGCGAATGTGCCTAACGACCAAGCCCACAGCCTCACGCTCTCTCTCAAATCTCCGTTGCTTGAACCTAATACTGTCCAATTCGGGCATAGGCCCTTGAGCGGTGCAGATTTCTACAGTTCAAGCTATGTTGTCCCAGGGGAATCAAGAGAAGCTTGCGATGCAAGCAATGACTCTGAGTTTGCTTCGTCCTTGGCTCCTCGGAACAGGCAGTGCCTCACTTCTTACCGGCCCGATCTGGTTCCTTCCAATGTTGGGAATTCAAGATACTTGAAGCCAGCTCAGTCCCTTTTGGAAGAAGTTGTTGGCATCTGTGGGAGTGATAGCGAGCTTGCCAATGAGAAGTACTTGAGGAAGTTATATGGAGGAGCAGGAAGAAAAGCAGCTCTAGGGCTGGTTTCTGAATTGAAGGAAGAATTAGGCAATAATGGTCTCTCTGCAGAGAAACATGAACTTCAAGCTAAACTTGCTAAGCTCGTTTCGTTACTGGAAGAGGTGGGCCTCCTACACAAACTACAAAGTAGCCTCTCAAATTACTTCATATCCAAATTTATTGCCAAAAAGTATTGTCGTTGTTTCACTAATATGCTACGGCCACGTTGGCTGGAGCGAATTTACAGGTCGAAGAGAGATTCACGAAATACTACTTCCACATGGAGGAGGTGGTATTGTCGTTCGAATCGGTGGCGGGTTTGGGAGCGGCAAAATCCTACACTGCACTGGCCCTCCAAGCGATGACTAGGCATTTCTGCAATTCGAGGGATGCAATAGTATCTCAGATTAAGATCACAAGGAGAAAACTATTTGACGATTCTTCGAGAATTATCTCTGGACTTTCGCGGCTGAGCCTGTTCGATCGAGAATGTAGGCAAAAGCAGAGGATTTCTCTCCAACAGCTTGGATTGATCCACAGTCAGAGGCAAGCTTGGAGGCCCATCAGAGGGTTGCCAGAGACTTCTCTGGTGATCCTTCGCTCGTGGCTCTTCGAACACTTCCTCCATCCGTAAGCACCTGATTCCAAAGTGCTCGAAGGAGCTATTGTTTTCGCCGTTATTGGAAAATCTATTGGTGATAAATATTCTTTCTTGTGGTCTTCTAACAGCTATCCAAATGACTCCGAAAAGCTTATGTTGGCATCACAAACAGGCCTCACCAAGAATCAGGTGATCTCTCTAGAACTAATTCCTTCTGGCGCTACTTGTTTTCACTGCCGAGCACGAGCATATAACATGTTCCAATGTACGGGTTTTCACTTCCCGCTTGTTCAGGTTTCAAACTGGTTCATTAATGCCCGGGTTCGGTTGTGGAAGCCCATGATCGAGGAGATGTACAAGGAGGAATTTGCAGATTCATCGGAGGACTCGAATCTTTTGATCAGAGGTTCCATAACCGACGAGGATTCAACCAACCTCGAAGACGAATGAATTGAGAATGGTAATAGGAAACCGAATTCCACGAGTAGAAATCTGCTAATTTGTCATCAAAGTATGGTCAGGGAATGCCTTCAGGATATAAATCATGTATGCCTTTCTGGGAAGCATAAGCCGTTTCATAGGCATTCTGGTCTCAAAGTTGGCAGGACGCCTACTTAATTCAGCATGAAAGTAGGTCTAACGACCTTTTCTATTCGAATAGTAGCCTATGTTTTTTTACGTCAGAAACTCATCATCCTTTAAAATGCCAGTTTATGGCTATTTCTGAGTTAAATGTCGATTGTACAAGAATTGGCAAAAATACGAGAAACTTAGAGGGTTGAACTAATACCCCGATCGCAGTAATGAAATAAGATTGAATGTAATAGCTATTACGTTATTTGGTTTAAGTAATGAAATGTGCGTTTATTACATCATTTGGTTTCGCTAATAACAAGTGTAATAGGAAAGGAATAGTATGGCATGCCTAAAATACCTCTCATTAGAGGATAGTTTTTTATAATATTGTCAAAGCACATATGAATATATGATTACTGTGATTTTTTTAGTTCATCAAAAAATTCCGCTTTCTTAAACCATGGGAAAAGAATCAATTTTCTCTAATAAATTTGATGAAATCTTTTATGGTAATAAGAGTATTATATATTAATGTGTAATTTATATGTATTATGGGGTATTTTCGCAATTATGTTTCTATCTGTACCATTTCTGTAATGAGTCACTCCTATAAATACATACCATACAACCGTAATTGGGGTTGAGCCACCATAAACACATTGTCATTATTTCCCCTCTGAGTCTAAACATCAACATGGTATCAGTGCAGAAAAACGGATCAACTTCTTCAACTCCTTCACCCCAAATCAACACTTTGCTCCAATTTGCTACTCTAAGGCCACTCTTGACCTATGTTGGAAAGCGGTCATGGAAGATGAATTTAATACCCTGGTCATCAATCACACGTGGGATCTTGTACCACCTGATCCTTCTAAGAATTTAGTCAGTTGTAAATGAGTTTTTAAGATTAAGGAAAAATCTGATGAAATTGTAGAACGCTTCAAAGCTCGTCTCGTTGCACAGGTATTTAAACAGCAGGCCAGACTAGACTATAAAAAGACTTTTAGCCCGGTCGTTAAACCCACTGCAATTCAGCTTGTCCTTTCTATTGCGATTTCTTTAGGATGGGCCATACGTCAACTTGATGTCAAGAATGTCTTCTTGCATGGCATCCTTTGTGAGGAAGTTTACATGCGCCAACCTATTGGTTTCTCTGATCCTGAATTCCCAAATCATGTGTGCCGTCTCCAGAAAACCATTTATGGTTTAAAACAAGCTCCACGTGCATGGTTTCATCACTTTAACAGCTTTTTATTATCTTGGGCTTCATCGCAAGTAAGGTTGATCCTTCGTTATTCGTCAATCCTTCTTCTCGAGGCCATGTGTATCTTATGTTGTAATATTGATGATATTAGATACTTCTGAGTTATTACAGTCTTTGATTACTCGACTCTCATAGGAATTTGCTATGAAAGATCTTGGACCATTTCACTATTTGCTTGTAATTGAGGCTCATCAACACTATAACGATACGCTTTTATCTCAAGCCAAGTATGTTGATAGCCTTTTGCGCAAGTTTGACCTTGTTAAGGGCAAGCCTGTATCTACTCCTCTAGCCTCGAAGACTCTATTATTTGCTAACAATGGTGAGGTTCTCGTTTCTCAAACATTGCATAGACAAATGGTCGGTGCTCTAGAATATGTATCTATGACCAGACCAAATATTAGTTTTTTTGTGAATTTGGTTAGTCAGTTAATGGATCAATCAAGATTACCTCATCTCTAGGCCATCAAATGTATATATAGTTATTTAGCTGGCACCTCCACCCATGGATTGCTCATTGAGCGGTGTTCTCCCACTTTATTAACTACTTATACGGATGCAAAGTTGGTTGGATGCTCCGATACTCGATGGTCCACCTCCAGATTTCATATTTTTCTATGCACCAATCTTGTTTCGTGGAGTGCTTAGAAGCAACCCACCATGGCCCGTTCTAGTCTAGAGGCTGAGTAGTATCATGCTATCGCTCAATGTGTTACTCAGACTATTTAGATTCGTCATTTACTTCTTGAGCTAGGGGTCCCCCTTTATAATCCTCTCACCATTTATTGTGACAATATCTCTACTGCTTATCTTGCTATCAACCCTGTGTTCCATGCTTGCACCAAACACATTGAGTTAGATTACCACTTTTTTCGAGAACGGGTTGCTTCTAGAGATCTACGTGTTTGCTACATGCCTACAACGGATCAATTGGCAAATATCTTCACCAAGGGACTCCCTAGTCCGCGTCATGCGTTATTGAGATTTGTTGACACCTAAATTTTGGCGTATCATTTAGTCGTAATTTGTATAGAAAATTAGGGATTAAATTTTTAACCCCTAAACAAAAATATTTAGGTTGCATAACATATAGTTTAAATTTATTTTAAATTAATTGCATTTTGCATCGGACCGGCGGTGACGAACGAGCTTAAATTTCATCGAATGGGACTCGGCTCGCTTGGAATGCAAGGGCCGGGAATTACAAGTCAAACGGGTTCGGTTGTTTTAATTTGAGCTTAATTCAGCCCATTATCCTTAATTAATTCAGCCCATTTAAGTTAAATTAAAATCTAAGCCCAAGCCTAAGCCCATTAGGACTTGAGATGATCTATTTCCTAGTTTAAATTAAGTAATATTCTAATCTTAATAGATTATTCAGGTTATTCATTATTTCGAATTTTAACAAAAATCCTAAAAAGAAATCATGCTAGGGTAGATTAAGTCATCATAGTTTGCATGTTAATTTAGGCATTTTTATTATTCCGAATTTAAATTGAGAAAATACCAAAAATAATCATTCGTCCTGTCATTAGAAATAGGTCACGTCGTCGCACGACATATAGTTTGCATGCTAGGTTGCATTAATCGCATGTCATTTTCGCATGTCATTGCATATAGGCTAGATTTCATTTAAATAAGTGAAAATCCAAAAAAGAAATTGAGTGAATTGCTTGTTAATTAGAAATCGTATTAGGGTGTCAATGTGATTTTCTAGCTAACAATGCAGATGCTTACGTTGCTTCCAGGTAAGTAATTCTTCAAAACTTGCAATTTATTTAATGCTTTCTGGGTGTTAAATTGGTGGTTTGCGCACTCGCATGAACACCTCACATGTTAGTAACTAAGTTGAAATGGATCCAAACTGCCTGCCAAAATATTTTTGAAAAGAAAAGGTACCGAAAGGGTGTTAGACCAGATCTAGCGTAATCAAGTCCCCAGGCTTAGAATCTCTGATTCGTAGGAATAAAACATATATCCCTATGTTTTATTTAGGTTTCTAATCAACCTACCATAAATTGATTAGTGGCGACTCCAAGCATGAAAACTTTTGCATGTTAAAAATTTAAACCCTAAGTTGCGAATTGGTAGGGCTTGGGAGGGCCCGAGTTAGGCTTAGTCTTAACAATCCATTAGCCTGAGAGAAATTTTAGGTCGCGACAGCTTGGCGACTCCGCTGGGGACTTGAGTTAAAACTCTTAGTGGACTTAGGCCAGTTTTTCTTTTCAAAAAATATTTTTGTTTGGCAGCGAGGATCCTAGGTACGTCCCTAACATTTTAGGTGTTAAATGTTTTTGCAAAATGGGACGTATAAAGGGAGGTGTGATTGTTAACCCTTGTTTTGCAGGGAGGTGTTTGGATGTATGGTTTATTTTATGCACGAAGCGCTGTTTGATATAACATGTTGTGCATGCCTTGTATTTACACTACACCGCACACACTACCCGCTACCGGACCTGGGCGGCACAGGTTTAGGATGGTACTGAGACAGCGGACACCCCGACCACACCTGCGTGGTACGGGTCGCCCTCCTTGGTCCCGAAAGTTCTTTCACGGTGTCATTGAGTTCTCACCATGGTTGCACCCTTTGCAACCCAGGTCGGCTCCTTGACTAAGCCGGAGTAAGGGGAACCCCGGCCTAACCACAACCATGACTGGTTTAGCCCGGTAATCTTCGCGTCTCCATTTTGCAAGCCAGAGTCTAGATAGAAATCGAACCTCACATTTCATGTGCATGTCTATGTGATTGCCATGGTCCTATCGGGTAAAGTAAGTTTTCTGAACCTTTATTACGCAATTTATTTATGTTCCGTATTTTCTTTGGTCGGTCCATGACATTAGGTCGGTCGTGAGTCTTGGTCTATACACTATGGGAGGGGCAGACATCCGGATTCTTGATGCTCCTAAGGACGAGCTCCGTGCCTGGTGGAATCTACTCAGTCCAACCAACCGCAAGTTAGTTGAGGGCCACATCGGGAGGCTGCTCCCCCTACTGGAGGTCAAAGTCCGTACCGGCCTCGTTCGAGCATTAGCGCACTTCTAGTGTCCCGAGACCTCTACCTTTATATTCGGTAAGCACGAGCTCACCCCGACATTGGAAGAATATAGCGTGCTCATTGGAAAATCATTGGAGTCGGAGTTAGTCACACTACCTTTGGGAATTGATTCTACTTTAATGTTGGCTGAATTTTTGAATGTTGAAAAAGATGAATTGGGAAAAGTTTTAAAAGCAAATCGCGGCACATGTCCTTTTTCATTCCTGAGTCAGTGTTTTGAAAAAGCCACATCTTTTCAAAAGGGCAAAATCTTTTTGTTAGCATTTTTCGGGTTCGTGATTTTTCCTCACTGTAAGAATGCATGTAGTCCGTCAATCGCATGGTTGGTCCAACAAGTTTGTCTTGAAAAGAATTTTGGCAACACCATTTTAGCCGAGACTTTCATTTCACTCACTAAATTTAAGCAACATGTTGACAAAACGTTTCATGCCCCCCTCGAACTTTTGCAAATTTGGTTTTTGTCTCATATAAAAGGGTGTGGCGATTTACTCACAATATCCGAGCTTAGTGATTCTAGCCATCCCATTTTAAGCTATAAAGTAAAACAAGGAAATGCACCTGATTATCATTATTCCGAATGGATCATTTTCATGAAAAACGCTAGACCCCAAGGTTTCCATTAGCATGCTAATTGGTTCAAGGTCGAGGAAGCTCGGCTTACGTGTAATGGTGTTGGACCGGTGCCACTTTTGGGCTTCACTAGGCAATCGAGTACTACCCTGCCAAAGTGTCCCGACAGTACCAGATTCTCCAGGGACTCCCTCCGGCGTTACAACCGGAACTCCTCCGGGTCGACTTCGCCGATGATGATAAAGACCACGAAGGGACCGTAGCTCAGCTCAATAAGATGTGGAAGAGGTGCCGTGTGTTAAAGATAGCTCGGCCCGAAGGAGAACTAAAGGGAGAGCAGAAGTCCTATTTCGCGACGACTCAGTATATTCGACGGCACAGAATCCCGCTGGATTTGCTCCCGAAG